TATTTTGAATTGTACGTCAGTGATGCTTCGTTGGGTCCATCCCACATTAGGAGTGAGTCTTGGCTCTGTTCCCTTTCCCAGCTCTGTTGTTTCCAGAAATAGACGCACATACACACAACACACACACCATCTCTCCCCCTGGCCTTTGTGCAAGGATCCTCTGTCCAGAAATTGAAATTTGTCTCCAAGTTTCTGTTGCTAATACTGCTAACACATAATTCCAGAACTAAAAATATCCTTGAGGCAGAGCTGGAAGAAAAACAAGAGAGAAAGGGGAAAAATTGATTACCCGACACTCTTCAATCATGGAAATATCTTGTATCAATTTTTCCAGTCAAAAAAAAAAGTTAACTATTGGAGCAGTCACTGCACAGTTTTATAATTGTTACCCACACTCAGCTCAAAAGTACAGAAGAGGAGGAAAAAGTAGTAGATCGTGTCTGTATGGGTTTCTCCTTTAGGTTTTGTTTTCTCTCTACAATTTTCCTTTTCTCTGTTTAATTTCAGAGTTCTAGGTAAATACTCATTTTGAATTCTATCTAGAGCTTTTCATTGTAATTCATGGGGAAAAATAGATTGTAGTGAGCTTATTCTAACGTGGCCAAAACCCAAACTTCCAGAATATAGTAAAATAAAGTTTGTGTTTATGATTTTATGTAGGTAGGTCCCTCCATAACGAAGTTGATTGTTGGCTATTAAAGTGTGAAACCAACACATTCATCAGGGAGTCTCTGAGGTCGGCATCAGTGCTCACACTTCGGAGACCTGTATTCCTTTTTAAAGACCAACTTCTAATAAAGATGAGTAATGCCTCAATCGTGGCCGAATTCATCCTGCTGGGCATCCCGCACACAGAGGGACTGCAGGCCACGCTCTTCATCCTGTTTCTGTCCTTCTACATCTTCACTCTTATGGGGAACCTGCTCATCCTACTGGCAATCGTCTCTTCCACCCGGCTTCACACTCCCATGTACATCTTCCTGTGCAAACTGTCTGTGTGCGACATATTTTTCCCTTCCGTGAGTTCCCCCAAGATGCTCTTCTACCTCGCGGGGAACAGCCGAGCCATCTCCTATGCAGGCTGCGTGTCCCAGCTCTTCTTCTACCACTTCCTGGGCTGCACTGAGTGCTTCCTGTACACGGTGATGGCCTATGACCGCTTTGTTGCCATATGTTACCCTCTACGCTACACGATAATCATGAGCCACAGGGTGTGTGCCCTCCTGGCCGTGGGAACCTCCTTTTTCGGTTGTATTCAGGCCACCTTTCTAACCACCCTCACCTTCCAGTTGCCTTACTGTGGCCCCAATGAGGTGGACTATTTCTTCTGTGACATCCCGGTGATGCTGAAGCTGGCGTGTGCAGACACCTCAGCCCTGGAGATGGTGGGGTTCATCAGTGTGGGCCTCATGCCCCTCAGCTGCTTCCTTCTCATCCTCACCTCTTACAGCTGCATCATCTACTCCATCCTGCAGATCCGCTCTGCAGAGGGCCGACGCCATGCCTTCTCCACCTGCAGTGCCCACCTCACTGCCATCTTGCTTTTTTATATGCCAGTGGTCCTCATTTACCTAAGGCCAACCCCAAGCCCCTGGCTGGATGCAACTGTTCAGATCCTGAACAACCTTGTCACTCCCATGCTGAACCCCTTGATCTACAGCCTCAGGAATAAGGAGGTAAAATCATCTCTGAGGAAGGTCCTGCATCAGGTGGGCTTCCTCCCTGAGCAGCTGTGGAGAAAGGACAGTAGCTAACATTTCACCCTCCCTGCATAGCTTATAAAACATTCCTGTGTGGTTTGCAGAGATATTTTTTAATTGGAAAGTGCAGGTATTATGATTATCTCCATTTTACAATGTGGGGACTTATATTTGAAGCATTAATGTGACTTGTTGAAGGACATGTAAGGACTGAATGGCAGAGTGAAAACTCTAGGGCTGGTTTTCTGAATCTGGGACCCGTGCTTCCTTGAGGATGTTGAACTGCTGCTGAGGGAAGGCGGTAGGTCTCCCCGGTAGGTACAATCTGGACCTTCTGCCTTCCAATATTTATTTTCTTCATCCTCTTATGTCTCCTCTTCTACTTCTCCCCCTCTCCCTGGTACTTCTTCACCTTAGCTGCAATGATTTTCCCTCAAATGCCTGCTTTGCATAAACCCTCATTTTATTGGTCTAGGAGTTATTAGAAAAAAAAAACTGGAGAGGTGCATTCCCAAGACTTCAAGTAGCACCCTAAGATACATGAAGAAGTTGTGTAACAAGAAGGACTTCTGGCTGAGACCTGAAGCACATCTCTATGAGTGAAGCTGAGGTACTGGGGTGCCATCCCACCTATGAAGGCCTGTTGGGTTTGGACCTGGAAGCAGGTTATAGAATGCAGCAGTTGTTTGAGAACATGGGAAAGGCAGATGGGAGAATCCACAGAGAGGTGACCGCACTGCAGGTAGAAACTACAGACTTGGCTTTCTACTGCTCAGTACAACCAGGCAGGCGATGCTGGTCCCCAGCTGTCACTGCTGCGTGTGACTTTGACTTCTCTGTTTACAGAAAGGGTTTGGCTTTGGTTCCCATTCTTAAATTTCTATATTTTTTGGCTGAAATGTGTTAAGAATGAAAGATGTCCTATCAACTATTGTTTTGATGTACTGAATTCTTTGAGAACACTAGGACACATAGTTGCTGTGAGGTTTATTCTAGCAGTGATGGAGAGAGCAAAGGACGCTGAACAATGGAGAGAAGGCGATGGAAGAGGAGGGGGCAGAGGCAGAGACCAGTTATTTTCTCCTGTCTGTACTTCTCAGAAACAGAGAGCAGCCGAGGAGGCTGCCAGGCCAGACCAGCACGGGAGCTCCCAGGGTCTGCACCCCCGGCCGCAAGTGAGCCAGCCAGGCTCCTGGTGCAGAGGCCAACACTGCCCTCATCACCCCTCTGGGGCCCCTACAAACTCTCAGTGCTGTTTCTCCCTTGCTTCTCAGTCAACAAGAGCCTAAAGAGCAAGGTAGAAATATATCTGAAATCATTTCAAATTTCATATATCCCAAGCCCTCCCCAAGCCTCTGTGAGTCCATTTAAGGAGCTCTTCCTGTTACTCAATTTTGCCTGGTTGTTGCTGTTCAGATGGTAAAAACAGAACAGTTTGTAAGGATAAAAGACAGGATCCAATTCCCTTTCATTTTCATTCATTGGGATGTCATCTGAGGAATCTTTGTTTCAGAGCTGGGAATGCCGAGGGGAACAGATATGATCCCCCCTGAATTAAATCATAGTTGCTGGAGAAAATAAACAGATACAGAGCTGACTAGGACAGCCTGTGATAAAGACTGTGATCAAGATTTGAAATAAAGCAGGAAAATTTCTCTGCAGTATATTTTTCTGGGCTTGGGGAGGGACCTCACAGAAGAGGTGCTGAAGTTTGGAAGCGATTTTTGTTTCTTTGTATCCCCCCTCTTCCCAAATAAAGAAACCACATGAAACACGTTTTACACTCTTGTTTTGTGTTTAGGGGATTGGTTGTGAGAGACAATTCCCTGGATGGGTACCTCGTAATCTTTGCCTTCTATGAGCGAATGCTCTTTCAGGAAAAACAAAAATTATTTGACCTGTTTTCAGGTTCTCCCTCCAACTCAGCTCCTGGGAGCATTCCTGGATTGGAGGAATGCTTTGCACAAAAGAAGTCTATATCTCTATCTCTTTAAATAAATGGACCTCAATCCTGAAATTGATATTTAAATAACTGATCCCCTGTCCCAGGGGTTCTGAGAGATGCTGGCAGGTCTCATGTCTCCAGGTAGTGTCTGAGCTCTTTTTTGATCTCAGCAGGAACCTGGAATGTGAAGCCCAGCCTCCAGTGTGGAGGCCCAGGTTGGGTTTGATGGTGGAAGAAAACTTTTCTGGATTCTCATTAAAGGGAAATGTAAGAAGAATTTGAGAAAAAAATGTCAATCAGAGAAATTCCAAACCAGGTAGATCATGTAGCAGAATATTTACTCTGCAGTGGCTGAGCAAAGACAGAGACTCAAGGCTCAAGACCAAGGAGGCCAGAGAAGAACAAAAATATTGAAGCGGAGGTTCAGAGTGTGTTTTGAGCAGAGTGGGCTATGGCAACAGCATTTCCTGGAACACAGGGTTCAGGCATGGTCTAGGCATGACACCCAAGACCTGACTCCAGGTGGATTCTAGTTCCCATGAAGGCGTCTCTGTTCATCCCAACACTTTTGTAACATCCATTGTCATCTCCAGGCACTGCTCCTCCCTAAATGTGTTACATAACCAGCACCTGTTCTGAATTTTACCCGAGTATTTTATTTTACCTACAGCTGCCCAAGAGAGAAAAATGATGTGGGTATCTAATGTGGAAAACTCTGACACAGACGTTAACAGTGGAGCTGAAATAATGGCTACTCACATAGGGGGGGGGACTGTGAAGGGAGTATTCCCAGGAATACACGCCTGTATGGGGCATTCCTTTCTCTCCCCGGCACCCTACTGATTTGTTCTAAATCAAATTGATTGAAATGAATGAATAAGTAGTCAGACATTAATGTTTGCAACATTTGATTTGCATTTTTTTTGGCTCAGGAATACTGACTTCACCTTTAAAAAATAACTGCTCAAGCTAAGGGAATGACATTATTTACATTTTGCTAGTTCACTTAGGGTAAGAGGTACAATAATTCCTGTGATTACGGGAATGGTAAACTGTTGAGAAACAATCTACTGTACTATTTATCATCCCTTTATTTTATATTCTGTTGTTTAAAAATATAATTTTAATGTTTGTTTCAATAATACTCTACAATGACAACATCAGCAAGCATTCTTCAAAGTCCTGATGTGTTTTTTATTAAGTAGTAAGTGATTAGAAAATAATATTAATAAAAATATGTAAAGTATAAAGAACTGTGATACAATGACCACCTGGGTCCACCTTGTTTAAGGAAGAGAGCAATGTCAGTGCGCTGGACGGTCCGAGTAGACCCCTGCACAATTCCCTACCCTCCACTCTGTAGACATCATCACTCTCTCGGATTTGTGGTTATTATTCCCTTGTTTTTCTCTAAGTTTGACTTCACATTTGTGTCACTAAACACTATATGGCAAGTTTTCGGACTTTATATTAATTTAATTCTTCTGAAATTTCCTTTTTTTCAGTTAAATGCCCTTCATTTTTACATTTATGTCATTGAATGTGTCTGAAATTAATTCATTGCCACCAAAGCATAGTATTCCACAGTCTGAATATATGAGCAGTTATTTTCTGTTGTTATTTTATTGATAAATAAATATGAATTTCCAGAATGTAAGAACTCTTTTAAATAGCCCCACTGTCTCCATGGATTCTTCATACTTATCAACACGTGTAGATATGACACAGAGGTACCATCACCAGCCTTTAACTAGGGAAAAAAGAAAATGGAAATTCTTGTTTAGTTTGTATTTGTCCCAAAGGAAAAACTAAGACAAGGTTTTGGGTAAAAGCAATGTATTTAGAAGATGATGCCAGGAAGTGGGATAAAGGAGTGGGAAGGTGAGACAGGGAAAGGGCAGTCAGTTAAGCAAGTGATGATTCACCACTACGTGGAACTAGTGCCCATTTGCACCAGGGATCCTCTGAAAAATGGTGTTTAACAACCCCACGTTGTCCCACTGGGCTACAAAGGAAACATATTTTTATGCCAACTCCTGTCCCACACTGGTTGGTAGATGCTCATGAGAGCATTAATTATCAGACATTTCTGGCATGTCCCACATATGTAGACTGAAAAAACTTCCCTGGTCAGAGACTACTCCCAGACAAACAATATGCAGAGCCCTCAGGACATAAGGACCCTCTCTGAAGGTGACCTCTGGAGTGGGCTCAGGGGATGCAGACAGAAGTCCTAAGAAATACTATGGTCATAATTCATTCACTTCTTGAACTAGTATCTTTCCAAAACGTGAACTACCGCTTCAAAATGATACAACTCTGCTTCTATAGGATCTTCAATGATTGTTACTTATTGGCTGAATTTAAATAACTTAATAACTTACCATAGTATCTGTGGAATTAACAATCAGACCCAAACTCCCTCTTTCATCTTCTCAAAGCCATGTGTTGACCCAGCAACACATGCATCTCTCTCACACGCTGCTATACAGCTAACTGTGTTACCATTCCCTAAAGGTGCCTCTTTGCATTTTTTATTCACTTGTTGCCCTGCTATCTTAATAAACATATTTATTGAGTAATTGCTATACTAGGCCCTGGAGTTGTGAATATCCATGAGTCCAATTCTTAAGAAGCTCATAGTTAAGCATGAGAGGGAGATGTACACATGATTAAAATAAAATGTAACAAAAATTTTATGGAAATATGTAAAGTGGACTAGTAAAATGAAGACCAATTATTAATCCTACAGAGGTTAAAGACGATTTCAAAAAACATTACATTTAGATCATATTCATTCATAGTTTTGTGCCTTTATAAATTTTATTGTTTCCTCTTGGTATGTCCTTCCCTGACTCCTTTGCTAGAAAACTTATACTCATCCTTCAAAACTGCAGCTGAACAGTTATTTTCTTTGTGAATTTCCTTATCTCAAACACATTAAGTTCTTATTATCTCTTATGTATCTATTTCATATCATGACATAAAGCATCAATTCATCATGTGAAAACAAAATTGGCAAAGAGACTCTCAAGAGTAACAGTTAAATAGGTGCAGAGAAGTAGAAAAAAGGGGACAGTTGGGTACTTACATTTCAGCATTGTCCAGTGCTTTGTTTGTTGAATGAATAAATGAAAGTGTGACTTCTAATGACATTTTGTTGATGGTCATCAGTCTATAGTTGTTAAATATTATAAAGCATTTGCTAGGAACAGATCCATTTTCTACTTTGAGAATAATAGTAATAGTTTATGCTGAGAGAAGTAAAATCAGACAGATATATGGTTTGAATTTGATTTTGACATGTATGCACTTTATGACTTTTAACAAGTTACTTAACAAACTTATATTACTATATTTTAATTGTTAAAATGGAGATATTTAAACCTACTTAACTGAATTGTGAAGATTGACTTAGATGTTTCTTGAGAGCACCTAACACTGTATCTTGAACATAATAGAGATTTGATAAGCATGTTATCTTCTCCTCTTCTCTGTATCCTAAGAAATGTACATCTTTGAGTCAAAGAAAATGCAATAGAAAAGCAATGTTCAGTTTAAAGATTTTTCTTTGGAAATAGTTCTTCAAGAATATTGAAGAGACAGAGAACAGTGTTCAAGAGTGTGCTAGGCTTTGCAGCCAGACGGATCAGAGTTTAGATTCCTCCTTGGCTACTTGTCGTTCATGTGGTGGTGGGCACACTCTCTGAGCACTCTCTCTTCAAAGGCATTATGCAAAGGACAAAAGTACCCAGCTGAGAGGGTCCCTGTGAAGATTAAATGACGTTGTCCATGTAAAGGGCTTAGTGCAGGGCTAAGCACTGCATTTATAATAATAAATACATTTATAGAATAAACACCTGGTAAATGTTAGTGTTGTGCAAAAGGAAGCATTTTAATTTATTATAAAATACTCATTCTATACTTAATTTATACTTATATAATATTTTGGATTTAGACAAAAATTGGATGAGGCTTTGTTTCCTTGGCCAGTTTCTTCCCAGTAAGAAAATTAATTTTCCTTTGTATGAAGTCACCAAAGTGCTCAATCCTTGACTATATGGTCCCTCAAAGGTAATGGGTAAGGGAATCAATACTGGAATTACAAAAATTATCTCAACCTAACACATATTTGGGCTTTGGCCGTAGCCACCAAGATGTAAGCAGGTATAAGCAAAGATTATAAAGGAAAAGAAAAAGAAAAAAAAATTTTTAAATACCCTATCCCTAATTTGCCCCAAAAAAGTAAATAAGATACTAAGTTCTCAGAAAATATCAGAAAATCTGCTGTTGCTGCTTTTAACTACTACTGGAAATTAAGAAATAATCAAAGCAATTTAAAAGAAGCAAAAACATAAGATTAAGGGTTATGTTAGGTTGAATATGACTTAGATTAAAGAATCAAACAGAAAGACTTATGAAGTTATAACTGAAGATGGAAAGAATAAACTGAAGCTACACGCAGGAAGTGTTTGGTGAAGGTACCATGAAAGTGTAAAGTTTTGTCGTGGTCAGCAGAGATTTATAGTCTCATGTGCTGAGCACTGTGCTGGGTCCGTTGCATTCCTACCTTGTTTTATTTTCACAGAAACACTAGGAAGTAAATGCTTGTTATTACCCCTCATAGGGGAAATGGAGACACTATTGCCAGGATGCTCACCTGACCAGGTGCCAGGATGCACACTATGTTATCTCATGCCTGTACCCACTACTCAGATGCAACGCTGTCTCATGCTTATATAATACTTGGCCCATTTTGCAGGTACATGCTTACAAACATGCTGGCAATGAGCCACTATTGTCTATGCTGTA